GTTAATTCTAAATATTTAATCAAACACAAGCCCTCAACTCTTTAATTCTAAATATTTAATCAAACACAAGCCCTCAATTTGTTAATTCTAAATATTTAATCAAACACAGGCCCTCAACTTGTAAATTCTAAATATCTAATCAAACACAAGCCCTCAACTTGTAAATTCTATACCCTATTATCTAACTCTTCATCAACAACCGCTGACCGCTTTGTTACTGCTAGAGGGTAGAACAAATATTTATGGTCTGGGGAATAAGGATTACCGTTCATAAAACTTCCTTATTTACTCATAGTCTGAAAGAGCAGGTTCGTGTCATTACATTTAATGCAATTTTATAGTCTGTTTTATGTGAGCCTAAAAGATAAAATTGTTTCTTTACTACCTAAGATTACTTTTACTTTTCGTAATCTAGTCCAGCATCTTACTTTAGTGAACCGGTAAAGTTTATAAATGTCGTAGTATGGTTGCCATCCAATTAATCCATGGTCATGAATTATAAATTTCATCTGCCAGTAATTTCGACAGACGTTTGAAATTACTTGATCAGTATCTCCATTTTGACAAAGTGTTCAAGTTGAAATAAGCATTGCCTCATACAAAAATTAATCACAAAATCAACAAAAACAGAAATGAAACAGACAGTAGACTGTTCCTCCACATAATCAGAATAATTTTAATGAATAGTTAAAAACTATTTTAACTGTCAAATAGATCTGTCTTACTTTTAATTTTCAGTTTGGTTTAGGAACTTGGGTGATTGTTTGAAGACCTAGTGGATGAATTTTATTGTCTTGGGAAACCTATATTTAAGCAGAGATTTAGTTGTTTTTTTTTCTATTGTGAACATATACCTTTGAACTATGCCGTAAACACTAATATAACGAATGAAAAGGACCAGTGGCACCATCTTGTCTAAAAGATTATAAATCTTTCTTACCTTTTTTTCTATTTCGTACCTTTTAAGATTTTACATCATTTTACCTACGTCTTTAGAAAGTCATGAGATTTTCAAGTTGATTCGATTGTAACCCATGCCCTATATTCGGTAGTCTTGAATTAAGTTTCCAGAAATGATTATTTTTTACACGTCTTTTTTTCGATGAATCTTAGCACTGAAAGGAAAACGTAATTTTAGCTTATCTGTTGTTTTATAAGATACCATTGTCCCACCCATCAAATACATTTAGAAAGGATATTCTCTGAAAAGATGTAATCTATAAAATAATTACTAAACTAAAAAAGCCTCGAAGTTGAAAAAAGAATCACCCTTGTGTAAAACTAAAAATCTTTAAAAAGGTATTAGAATTAGAATCCTGAATCAACTCTTTTATTCCCACCAACTATAATGTCTGATCACAATGGTAAATGTTTGGATCAAGAGGATATGAAGGACAATGGTGGAGTTTGTTTTATTTCTTTGTAAACCATAATTATAACTTTGTAGTCCATATTTATGTTAAATTACAGATGAAGAAATAAGTGAACAGAACAAAAACTCGTGTTTCGGGTCCGGTGTCTTTTTTAAAACTGTCTGATAGAAACGATTAACTGACATAATTGACTATTCGGCTGACATATAAGAGTTATGACATTTCATTCTTCCGAAACCACCAGCGTCACGTTAGAAAGCCATTGAAAGCTTCAATCGTTATTTACATAAAAACTACAGATTATTCTTGCGTGGTTAAGGCTATTCCACTAAAGTATTTATCTAAAAAATCCTTAATAATATTCCAGTCATTGCCATCCGTGCTCAGCTTGTACTCAGACAATAAATATTATTCTGCATCATTTATCATTCTCCAGCATCTGTATTTATTACTATATTGAACTTCCTTACCGTTCTTGATGTTCTATAGATTAAAATGAGTTGGTTGGGAGAAAATGTTCGTGTCTAAGGCCCACATATTAACCACTTTTGTAGACATGTGATTGTTTAGTCTAAGTTCACTATTATTATTTTTTGTTTTGCTTACAATTACAATGTGAGCTGAGCTTTTCATCTTCACCAAAGTATACTTTTAGACACAATAGATTATTTCTAGATGTACGAATCTGAGACTTGTACCTTCACTTGATTTTTGTTATGAGTGATTAGCAAACGGAATAATATTAAGCCATTTAAAGTGAGCATAATCTAAAATATTACCGGTATACCTTAGCGAACATCAACCAGTTTTACTGAAAAATGCACAATAGAATTATTGTGAAACCAACTTGTCATGTAAAGAATTATCTATCAAGATAATTATTTTCTTCCACATTTTTCTAACTCATGCATCTAAAACTAGCAAGCATTAAGGGTTATGAATATATATCTGTAGATATCAATGATTTGAAATTAAACACTTATCTAAAATCTGTACAGTGGATGTTAAATGTATACATTATATATCACTGATTTAAACAAATTTCTTACAGATGCCATGGAATTATAGTCAAAAAAGTAGTTGAACACCAACAAGTTTTTATTATTGTATCTTGTAACTACAGTAATAATTAACGTTATAGGGAGGTATAATGAATTTATAGCCATGTCACGACATTCATAAATTATGGCTTTAATAATTTCAATAATGTGAAGTTCTAGAACTGTGAACTTTGGATAAGTTTGTTTGTTTTTTGAGTTTCG